CTTAGAGCCGACACGAGGCTAACTTAAACTGGAATCCAATCATGGTGAAGCCCGAATTCAGATCATAGATCGGTAATTTGGTTCACTGTGGATATAAGTTAAGATGTACTAAGTCGGAACTTAGTACGCGAGAGACAGCTGGGATACTTAAACCCGGCACGATGCTAACTTAAATTGAAGTCCAATCTTAGTGGACTCATAACTCGAATAAGTTAGGGAATTTGGTTCATCATGGATATAAGTTAAGGAGTATTAAGTTTGGAATTTTAAATCGGGCTCTAGTTATCAAAATTATGTCATGATAAACTTGAATTACCAAACTTAATGCAAACTACGAATAAAGTAATCCAAAACGAATATTAACCTCCATTCAGATTGATGCAAACCTAACCTTAACAAGTTGGACTCAATTTCGGTGTAATATCGAATACAGTGCGAGAGACATTTCAAACTTAACGTAACTTACCCTTAACTCAACACATTCGGAAAAGAATCATAATTCATATTCCTAAATGACTAAAGTCTCATTAAACTTAAATGTAGATCGAAAAATCAAATTATCAAATGCGAAGAAACTTTGTAATGAAAAATTAATCCTTCCCACCATTGTTTCTCAATCCTACCAACATAATAGGCTACCTTAGAGAATTCATAGCCAAACCAGGCATCCCAAAAATCAGTCGAAGTCTCTTGTGCAACGAAGACCACTAGCAATTATTTTTTCTCTGCAGTTAGTTCCCCTACCCAGTCAGTTTTACCCCTTCGTCTTCTTCCTTCGATTCCGTTCTCCTCTGTTCAGGCTGAGTCATCGTGCGTGCAAGTGTCTCGAGGGCGTCTGCTAAGTCACATGCTAAATTTGGTTACCTTACCAACGGGATTGTATTACGCGCGTGGGCTTATTCTAATATTTCGGATGGCCGCGATGGCAACTAGGCCGTCCTCTTTCTATACTTATATCTGCTTTCCTGAGCTTCGTGTTCTGAATCAGTTGTGATAACGAGGAAGTAAGTCTTACAAACTCGCCATCCAAAGAACCGACGTTCTTATTTCTCAAGAAATCTCCATGAACTTCACATCGTCGGGACATTAACGATTTGAAAAGAATCCAAGATTTAGGGAAAGTGTGCCGATTATTCTTTTTATTTATATCGCTTCGTGTTTGTAAACACGCGGTATTTTTACATGGTTTCTACTTTATCTCCCGCGAGACAAATGGGCCTGCGACGTCTGGTCGCGATTTCGCGTGGAAAAATGAATCTTTGGTTAGAGAAACGCGTAGAAGTCGAAGGGCAATTGTGTAAATGTTTCAGTGTTTTCTTAGGTTTAGAGGTTGGTACGATAATGGTGTATTTTGTGGTAGGTTTCTTACGGGCTTATCAAAGAATTAAGGTTAGGTTTGAGGGAAAGCTGATGTCCAAATTGATATACCAAGTTTAGTTTAAACACAGTCAAACCAAGTTAAATGTAGCCAAAGATCAGTATTTTTCTAGGTTTATATAACGATGGGGTAATGTAGAAAATTTTGTTTCGTAATATTGCTTGGATTACGAAAGAAAATAAGGTTAGATTGGAAGAGAAATGGCGCCGGTTTCTATGAACTAGGGAACTGAATGGATGATATTCGAGGGATGGGCTCCAAGTCAGCTCTTCCGTGATCATGTAACACCCGCAGTGGGACGGAAATAATTTCAGCCTGTGAAGAGGAGCGATGGAGAGAGACGGTCAAGTGGAACAAGTCAAGAATTTCTGCATTATGTGCACTGGCTCAATTTAATAGCTGCTAATAGGGCCCTTTCTGATGTTGTGCAAAATCTCTCCTGTTATCAGCCGAGTTTCATCGCCTGAAGAGATTTGCTTCGAGCAACGATAACAGCTTGGCTTTGACTTTACCCATTACTCAAAGTACTATGAAAATTTATTGCACAAGTTTTTAGGTTGTATCTTTTCGGCGCAAAAGAATTCAGGATAATTACAAATTAGCATATTACGCTATGTTATTCGTTTAAAGCGAAAACAATGGAGAATTTTATTATTAATTAATTATTTCGAATTCCTTCCTATGACAGAATTAAAGCAACAAAATAATAAAAATAGGAATACCGAAAAGAGATTCATCCGTAGAAATTATTAGGAATCGAGTATTTAAATATATCATGCTGTATGATTATCTACTTGATTTTTCTAAGCTTTTTATTGAACATCTCATGAATTTTCTCTGCAGTCGCGTTGCATAATGGATACACGACGAGATCGTTGCACCTCTCGGTTAAATATATATAAAGCGAGCACTTTTCGTGTAGCGATGAATTTTTAAGCACTTCCTCTTTGCTGTGGTTTCCGCTATTTTTGACGCGATTGAACGGACATCCATTCTCAGGCGCATAATCGAATTTCGTTGTCAATCAGCGAGACAACGCTCCGCGGTGACGTGTCACGTGTCTCCGGACAACGTTCTAATTATATACGTGTACTTATACATTTTTTATTGTCCACGCGTTAAAATAGCAACGGAGAACGTTAGGGTTGAATGTTTCATAAGGGATCACCCGTGATATATCTAAATAGTCGTGTGATTTTCTTCCTATAGAATAAAAAATAAAAAAAAAAAAAACACTTAAAAAGATAAAATCCAATTGAAAGAAACGAAAGAGAAGCGGGATCATAAACTGGCTTAAGTAAAAATTGAGACTCAACTTTCTATCTAAAATAAAATACTACGGTTTATTTCCAATTCGAAAATCGTGATGGCGAATTTTCCATCACGTATTTTTACTTAATTACCTATATTTATTTAACGACTATTTAAATTCCAGCAAAATCGTAAATCCAATTCGAGCGAAGAATAAATCTGTAACTCTTCATCCTTCTGGCAATATCAAAAATATCTCGAGTCGTTTACGAAAAAAAAAAAAAAAAAAATATTTTTCCTGTCACTTTTTCGACTTCAACAAATATTATTCTTGTCGTCAACTATCGAGTAACAGAACATCATCGGAACATCGATCGAACATCGGAAAAATCTATGAAAATTCGACGTTTACGTTTATCATCCGCGATGTTCGTATCGAAAGGATCAAATTTATAATTTTGGTGTCTCATAACGATGAAACGAGGAACAAGGTCGAAACTATAGGAGGAAGGCTAGTTGGACTTTTATCTCGGCGCGAAAATGGGCTAGTGGTAGCTAAGGATCGAATTGCGTTTTTCTTTCATTTGGTTAGGGGCGGTCTTTCCGAAAAGCTGGTCGGTAACGAGCAGCGAGCGAAACCGAGTGAGAGCCACGCACACATCCACTGTGGCAACACACTCATCCACTATTAATAGTATCTTGCTCAAATTTCTATTTTTAGAAAGACTTATATGCGTGCACGTGGCTTTATGTAAAAAGCTCGCCGAGTATATGATCGCATCGCGGTTACGCCCACGCAAGCTCAGCATTCAGGAAGCCATTGTGCTGGACTCTTTTCGTCCAACTGTCTCAGCCCTTGGAATTTCTCCTCTTCAAAATTTATATAATTATGCACTCTTAATGTACGCACTTATCTGTCTGGAAGCTTTCTTTTAAAATTTATCGTTTGAGCTGGTTGGTTCATACTTTGATGTTGCTCCTTGAAAGTTCTCCTCTTCAGGATTAATTTAAATTGTCATCTCTATGTGGAATTTATATTATTATTATTGGGTTGGTAACTAAGTGATTGCGAATTTTGTCAATACAACCTAATGACAACTGAATAGACTGTGGATTTTTAAGTAAATTCGTATCTTTACGAACAGGTGTAGAGTAATAGAACCAAAGTAGAATTTTGTATTCGTATCATTTAAATAATACGAGAGCTACTTCGCTTTTGGTATTTTGAGCATGCTTCTCGATATTTTCGCACAGTCTATGAACTTTGTATACTTTTGCATATTGAAATTTTTTATAAATGTGTAGTTATCAAGTTATCTCTTGAAACGTCATTTTTCTTCGTTTCCAAGTGGCTAGTTAGTTCTTCCATGTTGTCCTATACTGACTGTGTGCTGGATTTTCTTCCTTCAATTGGAATTTCTTGGCATTAAGATTTTTCTGAATTATAGTCTCTTAATATATGTAGTTACTTCCCTGAAAGATTTCTTCGTTTTCATTCTAGAATAAAAATTATAATTAATGATATGATGATAAAGGAGAAAGTTTACTTTTGGAAGAAAAAGTTGGGGGAAAGATTTTGTTAAAAATTGAACTAGTGCCAATTCGACTGGTGTTAATTTAAAAATTATGGTATCGCGTTGCTGTAATTCGCGAATGCCATTAGGGCCCGGGAATTAGTCCAAAACGTATGAGTAATAAATTTATTTTGGTATTTCTCTCGCTGGTTCATCGCTCAGAAAACATATTTTCCTGTGTAGCACAATGTAAACGAATACCAAAATACGTGGCGCATTGTCATCGACATGATTCAGACCGCTATTGACAAATTTTTAGCTCCTTATTCAAACACTCCTAAATTTTCATCCAAAATTATACCCATCAAACTTTCAATCAGGTTAAAAGAGTATATCAATTTTAAGAGATAGCGATCAACAGTTAGGCTAAGTTTGACGAAGTTTGATACGGTTTGAAGTAAACCAATTCAAGTTTGAGTTAAGTAAAAAAATATGGAAGCATGATTCAAACGCTGCATTTTGAAAAAGCTAGCGAATCATCAACTGAAATAAACCAACGCTAACAATATCATGACAAATAGCTTGGTTTAATTTAGTTTGGGCTTAGGTTTGATACCAAATTTTCAACATCTGAAAAACATTCTTGACAATAAATGTAGAAGAGTAAAAAGTTGATGTAGACGAAATTGAAATATTATTAAACAATTCCAACGATATTACAACGAATAGCTTAATTCAGGTTTGATTATGCTTGAGTAAAAATCGAGATTGGATTTAGACGATGTAAACTTGAATATTTAGAAAAAAAAATAATAAGATGGAGCAGATTTAGATGAAACGAACCAACTCTAACAACATGATAAATAATAGCGTTAATTTATGTTTGATTAAGTTTGAGCCACATAAAAATTGGAATATTTATAAAGGCGTTAATAAAACAAACAGAGTGGATTTAAAGATTGAACGAGAAAGATCCTTGAACCTCCTCCAAGGCCTGTATTTCACGTTCCATGAAATAAAATCTCGCGTAGAGAGTTCTCAGGTTTCTCTGAAATTTCTTACAGGCTTCGACTTTCATTGCTCTCTCGGCTCGTTTATAGATATATTCTCGCTGCGTTCCGGTTTCTTTCTAAAAATCCACGCCGTTACTACGGTGTTACAAAATCGTGGCCCATCTTATTGTATATTTCTCTAACGTTCCCGTGGCGAATATCTCTCTTTCTCCTGCCGTAAATATTACGTTTCCGAAGTATGCCGATTGTTATCTCAATGTTTGCAGTATCTTTTACACACCATCTATCGTTACACATCAAATTATTCCTAGCGAAATGGATATTTGCAGAAAAAGATGGTTCTTTAAAGAAAAAGGAATTTGCTCTTTTTCCTTGTCACTTGTGTTACAACTTTTTCAATGTAACTGACCTAGATTTTAGATAGAGACGATGATCTTAGTGAGCACCAGGTACGAGAATCAAGACTGTTCGAAATTTGTGTTTCTTTCATATCGTTTGTTCATATAAAATTCCTTTACATTGTTCTTCTTCGTATAGAATCAAGTTTCGTTTTAATTTCCTTATTAATATTTTCTTGTCAGACTACGATAGAAATAGTCATAGAATAAGATCTATTAGATTACTTATCAGGCGGTAACAAAAGCAGCCATAAAACAAGGGTTCTACTACCTCACATCCAATGTTCTTACGACTCATTGATAGAAGCGACACTGATGACGTTAATATTCTCAACTTGTCAAAAGTTGCACAGCAATAAGCAGCAACAGACTAATGTCCAATATCCTCTACCAACTTCCATATCTCTTAATTACTTCAATTTCCTGAAAATTCGCACTAACATCTCCAGTTTGTGAAATATTCAACAACGCAAAGCGGCCACACCAAATATCATGTAACTTGGATTCTAAAATTCCAAACGTGTCCTGATCGTCGCAACTTCTTCCAAACCCCATTATCCTCTACAAGAAACATAGCGATATGAGCAGTAGCGAGAACCAACGTTACTCGATTATATCCAAAAAGCAAAATTCTACTGCAACTGAATACTCACAATTTGTGGAACATTCCATAGCAAAAAGGAGCTACAGTCATGTAACCATGTAATTTGGACTCTATGCGACATTTAAAGATGCAAAGCTGCACAGAATTCTCGCAACGTGCAAAATTGTGTAAAACATGGAAATAAAACAAATAGGAGCTGATGTGCTGTTCCTCCGATTGTGTCTATAGAGATAGAAATTCAGATAAATATGTAGGATCGCTTGGAATTCTTATGGAATCAAGCGACAGTGAGTCAGGATAAGGCGCGAAGAAAAGAAAAGCGAGTTAACGAGTAGCGGCCGTTTCGGTATCCCAAAGTATAGTGTAACACCCCCGCTAGATGGAAGGCGGCTAGTGTAACTCCCTCTTGCCGCCGCGACGCTGTCGTCAACAGCACTGACGTTCCGATGCACACGTGCCGTGTGCAAAGGTCTGGCTATGACTAGGACGGGCACGACGCGAGAACAGCCATTCGAATCCAGTATTAGTGCGGTGTAGAGTGCTACTCGGTGTTTTTTCATCTTTCACGCCTGTCTTCCTCCCCGAGTTTACCGATTTTCATTTTCGTGACTTCGAACCCGACATCCGGTGGTGAGTAGTAGAGTACACGCAGCGAGCAAGTAAGCAACAGTGTTCCACGGCCATCCAGACATCATCGTACAACCTACAACACACCCATTTTCAGGATTCTCCCAAGAAAACGTTAGAGAGTGGTTGGTTTTCGATGTCGATCGAATTGTCGATTGGAAGTGAGATATTTGGAGTTATGTCCCTCTTCTAATAAGTTTGGATAATTTTGCGTTTGGAGATTCCAACTCGTAGTTAGTTGCTTTCTATAATAAGGATCATATTGGAAGTGAGAATTTCGCAGTTATCCCTCTTCTATTACGTTGGTATTCAAAGTGAAGATCGCAGGAGGTAAAATTGTTACGTTTCCCGACCGACCTACGAAAGACTTCAATTTTGTTATTTCAGACAATGGCATTTGGTGGAAAATAAGCTTAGTACCTTGCAAGCATTGCAAACATTTTCAGCGGTTAATTGGCTTACGAGGAGATTATTTTGTCGCCTTAGATCATTAGGTCCTACAGCATCGAATTTGAATAGTATCTTTGAATTCTTTCGTGTGACAGAATATACCCTTGGCTCTTTGAATACGCTGCAGTTTGTAGCTTTAGCCCATTTTTCTCTGCAACTGACAACGTTATATTAGAATATTCTCTTTTGGCAAACAAACGACGCAAAAGTCAGAAAATTGACAAAACTGTTGATCTTGTCATATTTTTCTTCTTATGGTCGTTGAGCGAATAATTTTTCAGGCAAAGCTCGAGTATCATTTCGATTCTCATCTCTCGCTACCAAAGTATATTTTATACTGGACAAAGAATTGTTGGAATGGCAATTAAAAGAATTCAAGCGTATCGGAGGATGAAGAATTTGGCTTTCGTAATTTTCGGTGTTAAGCCAGAGGATCGGAAAATTTGACGAGAATGTTTGTCCGAGTGGAAAGCTACATTTAGTCAGACGCGTCTTACACAGCAGAATTACGCGGGCCGTAAAGTTAAAACGCGTGACGGGTTCGCTAAAACGCAATGAAATTTGAGATCGTCCGGATTTAGTATACACGGGGGTGGAGAAGACATTCTTCGGCTCTTATGATGTAACATAGACGGAGATATGTATGTACAAACAACCGCGTACAAAGTATCGTCGTTACTTTTTCCTGATGACTCACCCGATAGAATACTTGGAAGTTAAGTTACCAAGTTTCTCGATCGAATTCACCAGAAGAGACGGGATTCGAATTTCGAATTCACGTTAGGGTCATCATAGATCTTATAATCCACTATTATCTCGTTTCAATATTTCTAAAATTTATTTCTTTTGTCGATCAGAAATTTTTATTTAAGATCGAAATATTGACAAGACTTTCAAACTTGATCGGTTATCGAAATTACGAGAAAATATTTCTGTTATTTTAGATATTGAGAGAAAATGAAATACAGATTAGGAAATCAATGAAACTTTTTATCAGTTAGCCGAATTACGATGAAATAATTTGATCGTCCTTGATCATGATGGAAAAGTACCGAGGCAAATGGAAGAAAATGAAGAATAGGTTAGGAAGATTTGCAAATACCGAATAGGCATTGAAATATTTCGTCAGTTAGTCGAGTCACAAATTAAATAATTTTGTTATCTTAGACAATATTGAAAGAGTAGATATAGACAACATGAAAAACGATGTATAGGTTAGGAAGGACCAACTGGACGCGAAGGTAGGGGTAATGGCGACCGCGTTGTGGAGAATCTAGCACCTTCCCTAATACGGCCTCGCGATCCGGCTTGCGTCTGCACGGATATAGAATCCTCTGTCTCTCTTCCTGATCTCTCGTGGTCTCTCTAGCGTTTCTACTAATACCGTGGTCAGTATACTCGTCACCAGAGCCGCTTCCAAAAGTCACATCGTCGAAACTTCCACATTTGCAACTTTGTATTTCGAATAGCATGTTTATCTCTGCAATACGACTTCTGATATTTGGCACACGAATGATTTATTTGTCGTCATGTTTATTTTACTCCTCAGCCTTTTACACCTATGTTTATTTTAGGTTATGTTAAGCCACGTGGCGGGAAATTTAAAAATTTCCAATCTTTCAAAGCTCGTCTGACTGACTGATTTTATCTTTGACTGACGAAGAATAGCATTTAAAAATCCTTTTCCTTGCAATATTTAAGTATCGAATTCCCATTCTAGAGTAATTTTATTATCATTTCTATTAAGAGCTCCTTGCGACGTATGAATGATGATTAACGAAACTTTAAGGGAACCGTGTGGCCTTTTCTTAGAATGGATTATTGCAATTTTCATCATTCCATTACGTTCTTCGTCCCGTTTCTATGAATACAGATCGTTCGATGAAGAATTGAGATTAATTTTATCAATGGGTTAACATACAGTATGTTAATCGACAATATCAATTAATATCGACATTGTCAATCAAGTTAATTCCAATGTTTCATAAGATGGTATGTTGTGATCGTAATAAATTCCTGAAAAAACTTAATTTCTTCGTTTTTGTTCTTTTGTCCGTATTTTTCGCGGATATTAGCCACCGAGAATACACGTTGCGATTCGAACTTGGTAAAAATAGATTCGTTCTCCGGCAGTAGGGCGGAGATTGAAACTGTTTATGTTCCTCTTGCGGGATTAGGTAATCGGTGGCTGAGTTACCGGTGTTATTGTTATTCGTTGTTTATGCACTGTAAAATATACGAAAAATACGAGACTTACTCTCCACATTTCAATTCCAATCTTCTCGCCTCGATCTTCTTCGAAAACTTTCGTAAAATATTCCATCACAGCACACAATAGGATAAATTTGATCTTTAATTATTTGGAAAATAATCTGAAAAATGTGAAAATAAATAAAATGTTCATACCTATAGAAGAGTGGTAAACATATGGGAAAATAAATAAACGAAATATTTTAGAATAGTCGATAATAATCGAGATAATAATCGAAGATTTTTCTTTGTTTTTCAGTACAGACAAAATGCCTTTTAAGCCAGTAGAACACCCCAAGTGTCCCAAATGCGGCAAATCCGTATACGCCGCGGAAGAACGCGTCGCCGGAGGACTCAAATGGCACAAGATGTGCTTCAAGTGTGGTAAGTGCTTGTATCACATGTTACTATTCCGAGAGTATGCTACGTATTTCCCTTTAGCCAATGGTTCAAGACTCAACTTCGACAAACACGATTCTTCAAACATTCTCAAGCTTCTTTTATCCAATTAAATAATATGTTGATATAACGTGTTAGTAAAATTTCTCGTTCTATCAAATTTCACCAATTTCGACAAACGTATCACGTCACAGATTCTCAAACTATTTTTTCCGCTAAACTTAGGATAAAAAGATTCGATTAAATTCTATACAAAGCGTTTAACTTATCTACCTGAAAATACAAATTCGCTGAAATTTTTATTCCTTCAAAAATGTAAAATTTCTTTGAAATGTATTTCTATAAATTAACCGATCGATACAGGGGCATAATCTGAGTTGCAGAATTTCTTAATCGAACGACGAATTATCGGGGATCTTGGGGGCCGAGGCAGCCCATTGCGCAAAAACACCATCGGCCGTTTTTCAAAATTAGTCGCCTCTATAAATAAGTTTTATCCCAGTCCCGGATGGTTTGTCTTGGCCTTAATTAGTTTTGTATGCTAGCCAGAAATCAAATAGAACCGCCACCCAACGTCAAGCCGAGGGTGCAACGACCCGCGCGAACTCGCCGAGAAAAATCCGGACTTCGTGATCTTACTCGAAATAGCAACCCCCATTGAATATTTATTCGCGGCTTTAGGTACCAGCGGAAATAAGCTGCATAGAAAATTTCAGCCGCTACTGTCACTTATTCGTGAATATTTTAATTTTAAACAAATTTTTTCCTATAAAATCAGGCCATTTTTTGAATAATTAATAATTACATAAATAATTATTATGGGGCTGTTGGTTAATGGTCGACGTAGGGCTAGTAATTACTAATTAGTGGCTATAGTAATTAATAAATCGAAGAGAATTATGCATTTAACAGTATTAGGCGATCTAACTATGGATTTTTTATTTCTCTTATTACCAAACAAGGCTAAGTTTTGGCTGAATGCTTATGGATTATTATATTATGGGGTTGTTGATTAGCGTCGTAGGGCCATCTCGACTATAGCGACTGGTAGACTATGGCTGATCATACATCTGTGGAAAATTTAAAATTAGAATTTTTAGAATAGTCAAGGTGATCAGTTTGAAACTTTGTATAAAAATTTGGTGGTTTTACAAGAACGTATTTTTGAGTATTTCAACGATCTGGGTCAGGTTTGGATTTTGGAACAAATTCGTGAATTTTACTGTGGACTGTTCGTGTGATTTTTACAAGAAAATCTTGATAAATTTAACTCTCAACTGGGTTAGGTTGTTCTGTAATTAGCAAGATGCAGCCAGTGAAGAAAGTAGGTGAAGCATTCTATCTATCTAATTATATTAGTTGAATTACAAGTCTGTAAACTGTCAACTCGATCCACTGACAAATATTGCCAGGCACAATTCTGTGTTCTTTCAATTTGTATCAAAAATGGCTTTTTAAATCTTTTTTAGCCAGTAATTCCAATAGGGTCATGAACTTTTCTTTCGTTATCATCATATTCATTACTTTTCCATCAAAAGGTTCCTGAAGCTGCTTCAAACCTAGATAAACGCATCAACAAGCTTATGGTATGAAATAGCGTATAGTTTCTTAAAAAAAAAAAAAAAAAAAGAAAAGAAGATCACAAAAGCTCACCACTTTTTCTCCCCATCAAGTTCCATTCAACGCTTTTCTACCCTCACAAAGACAACCCTTTGGCTACTGTTCCTCACAATTTCAAATATCCCACAATTTCTTGAAACAATTTCCCATTCAAATTCCACCGAGCACGTATCTAATTTGAAGAAGGGATTCTTAAAGATTCTCGCATTACAGATGCTTTAAGTATAGTCTGGTCATGAATGGGCGAATCCACTTATTCGAGTGGAATATCAGGATGATGGATTAGGTGGAAGCCAAACGAACTATGCCTGTGTGTTGCAGGTCTGTGCGGCAAATTGCTCGACTCGACAAACTGCTCCGAGCACGAGGGTGAGCTATTTTGCAAAGTGTGCCACGGACGCAAGTTCGGTCCTAAAGGATACGGCTTCGGTGGAGGCGCTGGTTGCCTGTCCATGGATCAGGGCGAACATTTGAAGAGTAGCGAGTGAGTGCACCTGCCCGTCGTCCAACCTCTCCTCACCCTTTTGACCTAGCCTTAACTCCTATTTTCTCCCAAAGCAAGAAAAAAACAACAACAAGATTCTCCCCTCAGTCGTTTGTACGATCAGACCACCTCCCATTCAGAGCCATACACGTGCCGTTAACTAAAAAGAAAAAAAAAAAATAATTACCGTAAATCGAATGAATACGACCGACTCAACCATCATCGACAGCCCAATGATCCAACAGCATGATCCTCTTCTTGGTACAATAAACCGTATCCGGAAGAAACGAAATTGGAAGAAGCAAAGGCAGCCTACTAAGAACCCAAGGACCGAGAGCATGCGTCTGCGTTTATGTGTATACAGCATCACGACTGTGTCGAACTACGTGGTCCATTTAAATTTTGGCCTGTTCCAGAGTCCCTGTAACCACTTCTCCCTCTCTGTCTCAACAAAATTTCTCTTTTAGCCTGACATTATTTTTATTCTCATTCGGAACTTCTAACTTTAATTCTTCGTTTTCACCTTCCTACCTTCTAATTGCCATCTTCTTTTTTTCTTCTTCTTGTCTTATCGTCCTTGATCCTGACTGCTCCCTGGAAACGCCTTAACTTCGGTTCCTCACTTTCCTTATGATTCTCTCGTCGTGCATCGGCACCGACAGCGATTATGGTGATAATGGTGATGGTGATGGTGATGCTAAGACGACGACAACGACGACGACGTTATAATTAATTGATAATTAACTGTGTTTTAATCTAGTCGACTATTCTCTCTTTGTCACGTTTAACTACCCGTACTTTTTCTTGTCTTCGCTCTTTTCGTTTCTTTTGTTCTTTTTTTTTTTCTCTATATCACCTGTTTTCTCTGTCCCCCTTACTGTCTTACTTCATTGTTGTCTTCTCTCTCCGTCAGTTTCCTTTTCTTTTATTTTCTTTCGTCTTCTTTCTTTTCGTTGTTGTCTCACGTTTTCTCTCTGTCCGTGTGAACGACTGGATCAAGAACGGTCGTTTTTTTCTTTTTTTTCTTTTTTTCGAGCCGTATCTATATACATACAGATATATATTACTATATATATATATATACTCTTTCTCGTTTCTTTTATGCGATTACTACACTACATTACGCTAGTTTATAGAATCATTTGTACCATCTGTAATAAGTGCCATTAAAAGACTTAAAAAGGGAAAGAAAAAAAAACAGAAGAATCTGGTGTTCTTCATTGACACTTGCTTCGAGTGTTTTTTCAAACGCATTGACGGTCGGACAAAAATGTTCTTGCCATGAAACAAATGGATCTCTCTGACGACAGAGTTCGAAGATAGGAAAATTTCAAGTAGAAAATAGGATTACTATGGTACAGATGGAGAAAGAAATCGAAGCTATAAATCTAGTACATGTCGAAAACATTTTTGACCCACTGTACGTGCCTACACACCTACTTAGCTCTATACATATATATATACATACATAGTTAAACATTTAGACATATAAAAAAGTGCTGAAAAATATCCACCTGGCATCATCGATGCAACAACGGAGAACGAACCGAGCAAACACGGTTCGAGGACGAAAAATCTGTGTGTACACAGGAGCCAGGCCCGTCCAATTTTCTTTTAACCGTTCTAGCAAACCCCAATTTCACCTTTCGCCACCCCCAACTTCGAGTGCCCCGTCTCTCTTTGTTTTCTTCTGTCTAAAGAAAGAAAGGAAAGAAAGTACGACAGCGCGAACGAAAAGTAAACGACCGACTGAAAAAGTCAAGTAAAAGAAAAAAAAAAAAACAAAAAACAAAAGCAAAGAAAAATGTAAAAAAGCAAAAAGATACCCTGCTACCCCCGCCAGCCCCGCCGAGTGCGAGCCAACCGGAGGCCCATGATCGAACGATATATGTCGCTTTATCACGAGCCTGCCCTCGAAAATCCTCGTGATAAAGGGAACTAGCGAGTAACAAAAGAAAAAAATGGTGAGCACCGAGTCAGATTCCGCCTCTCTCTTCTCTATCTTATCTCTTGACTCTCTCTTTGCCTTTTCTCTTTCTTACCGCCTCACAGGGAAACCAATCGCTTGAAACTTTTCAGAGGAACGTCTTTTTTTTTTCTTTTTTTCTGTGATTTTTTTCCCCCTACGACTATTATCATCCACAGATAACGACAAACGTATCTCGGTTGATCGATCCATGGTACACACCTGCACGGCCTCTCGTACCTCTTTTTTCAAACACACGTAACCCCGTAACCCTGCTAACACGTCTAACTCTATGGGTGCTTCTGTTTATAGACGCGATTTTCCATACATACATACACAGGTACACACGCATACATATACGTAAATAGGCATCCAAATAATGCACGCTTACAGAGACACACGCATACAGATGTTATACGTAGATGAACGCTTTTTCGGTTTCCTCCTTCAGCTACTTCCTAAAAAAAAAAAAAAACAATGTAGAAGAATTCTTTAGAACTGCTTCAGTTTATTTAATTATTTCAATTGATTTAATCAAGAACCTTCTTCAGCTTTCTCTATGATCCTATTTTTTGGTTTCCTCTGGATCCCTTTTTTTGATCTCCCTTTTTACTTCTATCTATTTCTTTCTTTCTTTTCATTCTTGTGCCACTTGCTCTGTCCTCACTTCTTTCTTTTTTCTCAATAAAACGTATTATCATTTGGTTTCTTGTTATCACACGATCCGCTTCTTGGCTCTCCTCTCGGGGCTCGGCGGAAGCCACTTTTGCGTGGTTGCGAAGGGAAAACGGGTCACTAACCGATTACTAACATGTGCCTAACACTCTAACAGCCGGGTTGTTATTCTTTCACCGGTTTCTGGTAATCAGTTGTTCACCTAGAGTCTTGTGCGTCGACCCGTAGACGACGGAAACTGCCATCGAATCTCGAAGGGAAATCTGGGAAATTCGTTGCTCACGTTCTCTCACCGAGCCAGTTTCAGATTCGAAGTTTCGTCATTTTACTGGTCGACTCTCCCTCTTCTGCTTTTTGCAGTGGTGTTTTCTTGTACTGTCTGCTTGTCCCTGGTGATTCCCCAACCCCCGGTGTTCCAACGCCCCCCAATAATATAATACCCCCATAAGTCATTTTATAACCAGATATAAAAAAAGAAGAAAGATTCGAAGAATTTATTGAAATTAATTCAGGTGTCCTATGGCGAATTAACATTTTCGCAGCCGGTGACGCGCAGTTACGTTTCCTTTTTGTTTTTATTTGCAGCTGGTTGGAATTTTTCTAAAATTATCCTCCAACGTAAATAGCTAAAAGTGGACATTTCAGAATTTTCTGGCATACCCTGTGTTCATTTAAATGTCGCAAGTGACGATGAAAAATTCAGAAATAACGGGAGAAATTATCTTGTCTAATTATTATCTGTATTAATGAAACTTGGAAAATACAGCAGCTTGTATTTTTGATAATTCTTCGTTGCCTACTCATAGATTCTCGAGTCTTGTGTTTTCAATAATTCTTGGTTACTTACTGAAAGATTCTTATATTTTTAATATTCCTCGATTGCCTATTGACAAATGCTGCAGAAAGCTTTTGTATTCTTGTTACACACGACTGTGAAGTGTATCAGAATGACAGGTAATTGACTAGAAATGTTGAAATACCTTATAGGTCTAATAAATATTCGTACGTTCACAAGTATTAACTATTTTCACTAATAATTTCAATATTTCCTATTAAATGTGCAGAGTACAGATAACGAACAAGTTTCAAACAAGCAGTTGCAAACAGAATACTTCCAACGTTTTCTATTATTTTATCCTCATGGCATTAAGGAACCCTGCTGTAAACAGCTTCAGTTCTTATCTCAATCGTACAAGATCTTTGGAAGAGACAAAACACAAAAGAAAAAAATCGGCTGTGAAAGAAGTTAATTCCAATCTGCTCAGAATGAATAATTTTTGGTGGAAATGTGGGGCGCTGGCACGCCAATTGGAAATCACAGCTTGACCTTATGACACCAACCAGGAGTGACAATCTGATCTCTACAAGGGACACGTTTTTAGGGAGCTCGCGAGGGGATCGAACGCCGTTCTGGAACCGAGAGCCATCGCGAAGGCGCCTGAAGGGGAAGGTTGTCCCCGATGTGGAGGATACGTGTACGCCGCCGAGCAGATGCTAGCTCGAGGAAGGGTGAGTTTCCACAGAATTGCTCACCCCATTCACTTTCGAGACATTGTGCTATACCTTGGTACCGCGACTCGTCAAAGCCGCTGTCAAGCTCCACGAAAAATCCACAAAAAGTCTACGTTGCAAAGTATTTCAGCCATAGAAAAAAATATTCCAGTTTTGAACTCGAATCAAATTTGTTAAAGTTGCTGACAGTATCGAATGCTGCCAAAAGTCCACGTTTGTTCTCAGGATGCTCCACTCGAGTCGTACAAATGTTCTGCTACAAAAATTGTTCGAATGATAATAGAGTAGCTTAGACAAAATGGTAATTTCTTGGTTGGGAGATGTTTCGGTATTCCTTGCAACCGTACTAAATAGATTACAATAGTTGTAGCTTAGTCGCAAAGATCGAACTATTTGACTAGAAAACACACAGGCTGCCTAAATATACCATAGAGCTCTAGAGCCCTTTCTAAAAAAACTCCACAATTCCACAAGTTATGTCTCGCTGGTAGAAGAAACCAAAGGAAGAAGTCTTACTAACAAAGTATTCTTAGCCCGCGACCGCTTTATTTTTGTTCAGGCAACCCGATACCGTGTGATCCAAATAGAGGGGAGTTGTAAACAGTTCATGAAATCCGGAGTTATTAATCGAGCCGCCAATTGGACTGAACGAATTCCTCTTAGAATCTCGTTGCCGACGATTAGTCACTTCTAATCTTACTCCGTTGAACGTTCTGGAAGGACCAGTGTCGAAACACGGTAGCCTCGATCTTGCGCAGACCTAGACTGTAAAACACTGGTTTTCGATCATTTAGAAAACGCAAGATAAAATTGATCGAATTTTGTGGCGTATGCAGAGCATTCGAGAGCGGCCTCGCGTTATGCGATGCTAAAATTGACTAGATCACTGGCTGACAAGGTGCCAGGTAGTTGGTGGAGCGTGACGGGCCTCCGTAATCTTCTCGTCTGACGAAACGCGTAATTTCATAACAATGAAGGAAAAAATAAGAGCGGAAAGAGAATTTGGAGGATGAGTCGACGGCAGCTTGTTGCCGTTGGTGCTGGCCCAAGAGCTTTTCCTGTCTTCGTCGGACTTGGCAGTGAACCAACTGGCCCTTGCCGCGTTCGATGTTGGAAAATAACTTGGAACAATCCGCGGATTAAGTCGATGCAGGCTAATTTCTCTGCTTAGGACACTGTCCGGCCTTTTTACCTTCGATATGGTGTCACCGTACGTCGGTCAGGTAGAATCTTAAGCGGCCTTGATCGATCATGGAGCTTAAAAGTTTCACAATGTGATCGTCCACGGGCTTTTCGTGTCAAGGTCTCTTATTGAGAATAAATTTTCATAGTTATCTTAATCTCGGTATATAAGTGACAAGATTTATGGAGGTGTTTGGTAGAAAGGAACTGGGCAAGATAGACCACTGACTATAGCTGTTGAGCTGCTCCTCTATGTGTCAATTTTCTTTTCTTTCCTCGATATTTCTCAATTCTTTTTAAAGTCATTTCATATAACGAGCGAATCGAAGAACAGATAAACGTTCATCCTCAGAATTCTCAAACGATACTTTGTCACAGATCAAATTTCAGAATGTTCAAGAGAAAGCTCGATTAGTCTCATCTTTCTAGTCTATTGTTAACCGTGTATGACGACATTCGGGGACGTTAGCCAATTGGAGGTACATCAAGTGCTTGCAAGCAACTTTTACGAACGTATACCATACAAATCGATAGTATCTTGTGTTTGCAAGTTCAAGCTAGGATATTAACCCTTTCGTTACGTACGGCTCGTCGCGGTACCAAGACCAATATTCTATCGAATCGATCATGAGAAGAAACTTGTCCCTGAGATACCATGGTTATTCCTACTTCTTGTGATTAGGCTTACCATAAGCAATGCTACAAGTGCAAAACCTGTCAACGGTCTCTGGACTCGACGCTTCATTGCGATGGTCCTGATCGCGAGATATATTGTCGAGGTATCTGTTGCAATCCAACAAATCTGTATTTTTTCTTTTCTCTCACTGCTCGTTTCTTTATCTCAGTTGCACACACTGTCCAAATATGTATCGAAGATACTTAGGTCAGTCAATGAGTATGTTACTCTCTCTCTAAAAACAATATAAATGATAATAACAGATAATAAGAAATATTGAATGAAACGAACATTTTTTGATTAGATAATATTTTTAATAATATTTCGCTTTCTGCAAGCTTCCATTTTTCACTTTTTAGATAATAATCCTAGTAACCAGAAATGGATAGAATATAATGAAAGGAATATCGTAAAAAATAATTTATATTTTATGTTCTGTTTACTCAACAAAAATTAATCGTTTCTATAAAAATTATTGTGAGATCCACAATTTTATAATTGAATTAAATACGATTCTTTTGTCTTGCTTATTACTTTCTTAAGGATAACAGATACTCTACAGAAGCTCAGTAAACAAATCAGAAGCACAACGACAAAATTTCCATGATTTAAAAAAGATATTTATCACAGTGCAGAGATAAACTTCGCAAAGTCGTAGTATTTAGATGAAAGAAGAAATGATGGGGAAAAATACCAAGAAAATTCCTATAGTTCCTATGCACAATGACGATGTCAAGAACCAGAGTCCAATTTCGATGAAATATCTTTGTTGAAACAAAAGTTAGAGAGAGGATGTAATGTAGTCGCTGGTGGACCTAAGTAACGATTTGCATCCTTTGTCTTTGGTCGATCCTCTGTATCCTTTTTAGCGATGGTCCATAGTTAAAACTAAGATCCATGGTATACACTGGCGCAAAGTGTCCCATAAATAGTCACACAAAACGAGCTCCAACGTGAAGAAGACTTAGTCCACGTGTTTTCCTCTGGAAAACGGGAGAGAGACCTCGTTTCTAGGAGCGAGGTTCAACGTGTTGTCCTGAGATGCCCCCGGAAGTGTTCTGACCTTTGTTTCCTTTTGTTTCATTTTCACTCACAACTTCTGTTACGATTTTCAAGACGCTGGTTGGAAAGTAACAGCAGCAAGAACGCCTCAGTCTCTGTTTCGATAGAAATAGGCACTATGATTTTCCAACTAAATTTATTAGAGAATAACGATTGCAAAAATTGGGAATAACTATGTGTAATAGAACGTAAGACACGTTGCGGTCCCTCCCAGTTTCAGTGACTAACACACGTCCCTTTGTGTGCCATGCAGCAATGGCACAAGGAATGCTTTAAATGTGCCAACTGCTCCAAGAGATTAGACTCGGTCAACTGTTGCGAAGGTCCTGATAAGGACATCTACTGCAAAGGTGAGTACGTTACGCTTTTCTAAGATCCGCAGGTGTGAAGTACTGGATGTGTTCATTCAAAGATGGTAACAATCATTGTCGGTACCCAATCTAGTCTGCTTTGGTTCAACTTGTGTCCTCCTATAATTCATGACTCATCAATTCACACTGTTCTTATATTCTGGTCTACTACCGATCTAGTCTACTTTTACCTACATTTACCAGAAACTCTATAAATTCCTTGGTGTTAGAATAATGTAAGCGGAAAATCGATGTTGAATATTCGTACCTATTAAAGACGAGTATCGACCGGTAATTAACAATCTGTAAAATTGACGAAGATTAAGAGAAGAAAATGTACAAGGCTATATAGAACACATCCAAGTATGCCATACTCTGAGGACGATAGGCAACTAGGTCAAGAACGAGCAGATACCTTTAACACGTGTTCTCTGCAGTATGCTACGGAAAGAGATTCGGACCGAAGGGTTATGGCTATGGTCAGGGTGGTGGCGCCCTACAAAGCGACTGCTACGCCAATGGGTGGGTTTTCAGAGCCGAGACTGAGACGGGAATAAACGAAAGATATCCCGCCTCGGCTTCTACACTCTCACTATATATGATGCGCTTGTCTGCTTAACAGCTTGCTATCCGAAGAAATTCGGTCCGCGAGGCATTGGCCATGCTGGGGTTATGTGGATCGGGCTGCAGTGCGATATTGAGGACGAGGGGTACGCGCCCCCATAGTTATGCTATTCCATTATCAGCTACTCCATCTCTCCATGTGTGTGTGTGTGTCTGTCCGCCTGACCGCCCAATTTTCAGGGTGCACCGTTTTTCTTTCAACTAATTCTCACGCCAAATGTAGTTTTCCAAATTCTTCCTTCAAGTGGAGAAAATTCAAATTCTTCTTCGCATATAACGACTAGATTCAAATTTAACAGTAATGGAGTAATTTGTGTTTCGATTAAAGTTTGATCATACGAGAAGAGTTAACTCGAGGAGCCGGTCGAGCTCCATTTACCTCTCAAAGTTGAAGAAATCCGGACGAGTGAAAGATGGAATGAACGGACGTTTGCATGTGTCTTCACGGATATACGTGTACATACATACATACACAGGAATCGACGCCTTAACGCTTTGCGCTATTACTCACCTTCACCGTTGTCTTATTTTTCAGCCGCTAAATTTGCTTCCGAGTGTTGACTATACTAATTCTTAAAACACCATCGTAAATAACACCTCTGGTACATTTAATTCAGCATCGTGCACTAAACGCATGCTCCTCCTCGTATATTCCAAACGTGATAGTACTATAAAGAAAAAGAAAAAAAAAAGAAAGAAAGAATGAAATAAAATTCCGAGAAAATATACCATTCGTATCTGACGTTACCAACTTGCATTCTAAACCTCTTCAGTAGTGTTTTTCATTAGCATTGAGAATTTTGAATGTTAATTGCCGATCGGTATGGACTAGCCGGTCATTTGCATGGATTGCTTTTTTCTTTTCGTCACTTGCCAGTATTCAAACCAGAGTCGAGTCGCTTGAACGAGAATAAATTTGAATTTCATCATCGAGCCTCTCAATAAAGATGAGCTTCTCCTGTAAAATGAAAAAAAAAGAAACATTCGACTTTTAAACAATTTATTTTGTCATTCGTGCAACTCGATGCTTTAATATCGGTGACTGAAAGGGTCGATGGTAAAAGTTGGTCAAATTTTTGTAATACAGCGATGCTGCTCCTCGTACAACCGTGGTCGACACCGCCGTAATCAAGGCCCCACCTGGCAAAGGTTGTCCACGTTGTGGTGGCGTTGTATTCGCTGCTGAACAGGTGCTTGCAAAGGGCCGCGAATGGCACAGGAAATGCTACAAGTGTCACGACTGCAGCAAAACTCTCGACTCTATCATCGCCTGTGACGGGCCCGACAAAGACGTCTACTGCAAGACTTGCTACGGAAAGAAATGGGGACCGCACGGATACGGATTCGCATGTGGATCGGGATTCTTACAAACCGATGGCCTAACGTGAGCAACTCTTTCCTTTCGTTAGTTATTCCTAAAATGTTTAGGTATCTAGAACTTGAAACGCTTGGCTCGCCCGCTTTGGGTCTTTAGAGTTCTAAACACTTAGATTTCTAGAATTCTAAAGATTTGGGTGTCAAATCGTTCAAGCATCTAGAGTTCCAAAAGAACAAAAATTGTCTTCTGGCTTCCCAAGTGTATCGAGATGTTTAGAGTCTGAGATGTTCGAGCTTGCAGGGTCTCAGGCATTCAAACAAAGTACCATAGAACAACGACGAACGAGAAAGGGAATATTTTGGAAAGAGCAGGATGTGAAAGAGAATTTTTCTTCCAGGGAGGAAGAAATATCAGCCTCTCGCCCATTTTACAATCCTGATACGACGGCTATCAAGGCACCAGCTGGTCAGGGATGCCCCCGCTGTGGTGGCATGGTATTTGCCGCCGAACAACAGCTCGCCAAAGGTACTATGTGGCACAAGAAATGCTTCAACTGTGCCGAATGCCATCGACCTCTGGACTCCATGCTAGCCTGTGATGGACCTGACAAGGAAATCCACTGCCGATCTTGCTACAGTAAACTGTTCGGACCCAAAGGATTTGGGTTCGGACATACCCCGACTCTCGTTTCAACCAATGGAGATCATGCTCCCTCATAGTAAGTTTCTAACGCTTAATAGCTCGATTAATGTAAATTGAACCGTCTTGAATCCGAGTATCTTGACTCTAATCCGAAGAAGATTCAAGCAGTAGTTCTCCCCGTAGAGATAATCAACTTCGGATTCTAAACTTTAACGACGAATAGATGACATATTCGTGATCCTCCCGGTTTCCAGTTCTTCATGGCAGGTCTGAGAATCTGCATCAATAACGTGATTAGAATCCAAAGAGAGAATTACAGATACGTCAAGTTTTAAACAGTCACTGATCGCAGACCAATTATTCGACAGATTTTAAACACTCGTCCCTAGCTTTTTCTGACGCTTTCATAAATCGTTGCAGCATCGATGCCAAGCCTCAGGTGGGTCAGAAGCGAAACGACGGTCACGGGTGCGCGCGTTGCGGCTACCCAGTGTACGCTGCGGAGCAGATGATCTCGAAGAACCGCGTGTGGCACAAGCGCTGCTTCAGCTGTGCCGAGTGCCACCGTTCGTTAGACTCTACGAATCTGAACGATGCCCCGGACGGGGACATTTACTGCCGTGGCTGTTACAACCGGAATTTCGGGCCGAAGGGTGTAGGTTTCGGCATGGGGGCGGGTACCCTGACGATGGCCTAACTTCTTCAGGAACGTCGAAACGCTGGAAACCAGTCTCATATATATATATATATATAAATATAAATATACACATAAATATAATTATATCCGCCATATACAGCCGAATAAACGACCAGAACTGTGGCAAGCGATACTGCACTGGGCTCTTCGTTTATTCGTGTGTATAGGAATATGTATATGTATAGACGCCTGACTCCTCGACTAACTCCGACGAAGTGACGAAAAACACGCTGCTCCAGAAATCAAACAGAAAGCCAAGAAATTTGTTCGCTAAACGACGACACACCGATTATTCGATCGTAACGAAGACTGCACGCACGTTTCGTCGATGCTCTTTGGCGACGTGGCGCACGAACGACCGAGATACCACGATTAATCGAACCACATGTAAACGAGCAAGCTTTTATTACTTTTGTATGGCGAAAATTCGCGGGATCGAAGCTCGATGCTCTCCTTTTTTCTTCGAAAGCAGACTCAGTATCCTGTCCACTTCCGTTAGGGACCAATGTTGGGCCAAATTTCCACTCCATCTACTTTCTCCAGTTAGGGTCTGCTGTCTGAGGGAAAAGGCGTGACGAGCATGACACAGAGAGTACAAAGGACAAATACCTGGACCGCAATCAGCAGCAACAATTGTAGTTAACGACAGAAATGACGAGCGAAAAAGAACAGATGCAAAATATGATTATTTTCAATAAATGTATATTTCGAGAAAAAAAGAATAAGAGAACCAAAAAAAAAAAAAAGATAAAAACAAACCAGAGGGTTGGCTTGTGTTTTCGTGGAAAGGGAAGCGGCGAAACGTCGTTTCCGCGGCATTCTCGACATTCCAATTGTGTCTGATCGAAGACCTCGTCGAAGGAAAAGTCATCGTTTCAAGTAAGCCTCGGCGCATCCTTACCGATAATTCTTCTAGACGATAGATCCGAAGCATTTACTATATAAAAATATGTTTGAACGTCGAGAGAGTAACGACACGTTCCTCCAACTGCGAGAGTCTCGTAGGAATTTGCGTTTCCTAGGGATGCTGGAAATCATCAATGATTTAATCTTTAAGTAGCCGCAAATAGACACAAGGCCTGAACACAGATCGGACAGAGATCGGTGGATCACGTTTAGCTAGTTGTTCGTGTAAAATAAATACCTTTTCTTCTCTCGGCTTGATAAATCACCAGGCTGTTGGTTATCAGGCTACGGATTTTCCTGCGAATTTATTATCTTCACAAACTCGACCGAGAGACCTGGATTTTATCAAAGTAATTAGAATTTAGATTCGTTTTATCCATTAATTCTTTATGCGCAACCTGAAACATTCACGTCTGTGTCTAATTCCTTTTATCCTTTTAGACTTTCAAAAAATCTAAGAAAATCGTGGTACTCTTATCGAAGTACCAGCTACATCAGGCAATTTAATTTCGCATAAAAATCCGTAGTCTATCGATTAACGATCTCTATCGCGGTACTTAAAGATTAAACGCGCTTCATGGGACGTGCGTCGTTTCTCTTCGACCGAAGGATTTAATTCCCGCGAAACGAACAGCGATAAGTTTTCCTTCGACCATTTCGGGAACTGGCTGCCTTTCCTTCTTCTCTCCTACCTTTCACTCTATCTCACTCTTTCTCTCGATCGCTTTCACTCAGAAAGGTTCTCGTATCGTCAGGGACATGGACTAACATACACCTTATTACGAATGGACCTTAATAAATCTTATTACGCTAATGTATAATTCTTGTGGATGTATATTGAATGGCCAATGATACACACGTCGGTGGAGCTACAATCTAGCTTTCGCTCTTATTTCTTTTTTTTTTTTCTTTTCTTAAACATGCGTTTTCTTCTTCTCTTTGTTCACCTTGAAGGGAAAAGAATCCTTGCTCCCTGTTCGATGGACCAGTAAGTATGAGTTTACGGTGTAAAACACTAATCTTCTATATTTATAGCAACAACTGTACAAGTGCCGGCCACATCGATATTCTCCATAACGTGTCGCTTATTTTTACTTTGACAAAAGTGGTGGAGAGAACGCTGTTCAGACCTTTTCTTTGTTCACGGTCTTTCCTCGTTGCTTTTAAGACGTCTAAAGTCAAAACATTCATCTTGATAGTCGAATGAAATTCTCTATCTTGCTAGCTTCAAGTTACATTTCAAATTTCTTTTAGATTCTTTGAAAAATTTTGCTGGCTTCTTTCTTCACAAACTTGCTCCGGATTGGTTTTGTTTTTAGACATCTTTGCGTGCGATTTATCCACATAAATGCTACCCATTCATTGACTAATCAACGAGGAATGTAGGACGGTACTTAGATATCGGTATCACTAGGTTTTCCAGCGAGAATCTTTTCGAATCATCGTAAATATCTTCCATCGAGGTCGTTTCTCATGATCTCACTTTATACACGCCAGTAAAAAGAGAATTAAAAGTTATATTTGCCTAAACGAGACTAGATTTACGGAAAATTAAAGCAATCGGCGACAAATGCACACGGTTACCACTGAAAGAAATTATAAAACGAAAGGTCAATAGAAATAAAAAGCAGATGTAATTAGCAATGCATCTCATCAAATGTCTAAAAACCAAAGATTCCTGTAAATCACGAAAAAAAGAGAATAAAAACATTAAAGAATCCAATTTATCTAAATAAACTCCCCAAATTAATGAAAAATTAAAGCAACAAGCAACGAATACAGACAGCGATGAAAAATAATGAAAAAATTGTAAAGGTAAACGATCAAACGTAGCTAAAAACAATTCTCATTAGAGAAATCCAGAAAAAGAATGTAGATATCTAGAGCACCAAAATTTACAATTAAACATCTGAAGTTCCAAGTATTCAAGTAGCTAGAAAATTTCAAACGTTTGGCTTTCCAGAGCTACAGATATTTAGGCGGCTAAAATATCAAACCCTGAAGTTTCTAGAATTTTAAATACCTGAATTTCGCAACTCCACAATATCCTCGAATATCTAGTCTTTCAAATACTTGGCTTCTTCAAATTCCAAACTTTTAGGTATTTACAGTTGCAAATATTTCAATATTTAGACCTCCAAGTTCACTGTTTGATCGTTTAAAGTTCCAGAAGACTAGAATTAACTGAAAATAAATCTCACCGAAAGGATCCAAAAGCAAAAAGTTCCTGTTCCCTTCGATTGCTTCCTTGACGAGGAAAGCTTGAAAGCTTGACTGCGTCCAACGAACCAATGAAAACGACCTTGCGACGGAAGAGCCTGAACAGCATCCGTATTTCGCTCTGGCGTGCGATATTTTCTATATTTACATAATTTCGCCGGGATGGAGCGGTTTCGTCGCCACGATTAGTAGAGATTCGCGGTTTTCAGAGGCAGCGGGTCCAATAGATACGGTGGTAGCGCTGCAGAGAAGGGCCTGGGGCTACAGGAGCCCCATGTTCCTCCGCCGCTGTTACTTCCTCGCGTGTTGGGCGAGTTTCCTTCCGTAGCCGTGTCGCTGCTGTGTTTCACGCTCACAAGATTCGGATTCGGAATTGGTTTCGCCTCGTTCGTAGACATCACGCTGTTCGAGTTGCCTGGTGGCGTCGCTGGACTTCTTGGAGAACGACCTTCTGCTTTCACGTTGCCTCCTACGGGACTGGAAGCTCCGCTGTCTACTCCTATACCGCTTTGGGACGTGGACTTCTGCTGGGCCAGCCTCTCCTGCTTCCGGAATTTCGCACGCCGATTTTGGAACCATACCTGCAATTATAGGACACAGATTTTGATGATTTTGTTTAGATGAGAGGCGGATGTATGAGAGAGGGAACGTTGGATGGTTTGACGCGAGTACTTGATTTTGAAGAGACAAATGTTTTCGGTTAAATTGTAAAGGAATTAAACGTGGACCTTCAAGAGTCCTTATAGCTATAGGGTATTAACCCTTTGCATTCGAGAGGCTATTTTCCGTGACCACGGCGTTCCGCGTGGCCACTAGAGAGGGGAATGAGAGGCGATAGTCCCTGTTTATGCTAAATTTCCACCTCTCCAGTTGATGAGAGCGCAGTATTGGTTCGTAAATAGATTCCTTGGCTCTTTATATTGTTTGTTATGAAATGTGAAGTGTTACACTTTAAGCTGCAGATGAAATATTTCTGCTGAAATTCTTCCGGAACTATGGTTCTGGCAACGTCTCCGACGCTAGTTCACATTCGATGATGGTGGCAGAAGTATTACAGTTTCGTAAATTTAGAAACTCTAAAAAAATGGATTTGGAAATTTGTTTAATTAATTCTTATATTCTGTAAAAAAGCAAAAGAACGAAAGTCTACTTAACCACGATTTACAAGAACTTTAGTAGACCAGTTGAGAGGAGATATTCGACAACCGCGAGATACAGCTTCGACGTCGACTGCTAATTGTGATGGAATTCGGTTAAATGTAAAGCTCCATGTAATTTTAACAAGAACAAAAAAGGATTGTAAGGTGTGTTCTTACCGAAACAAAGCAGGAGAAAGACACAAAACAACTTATTATTTCAATACTTGTCCCGACAAGCCAAGGATGCATCTTGGCAGATGTTCTAAAATTATCGTAAAAAAAAAAAAATACAGAAAAGATATTAAAAAATGATATGTTCGAAGATGTAAATATATCAGATTAGTAAATAGATTATTAAAATATAATGATTTTTAAGTTAATTTTTTTATAAAATCATTTTATATTACCTACAAGACACTCGTCACGTATGCGCAAAATCACCTCTAGTTGCTGCTACGCCCGACCGAGAAGGCCATCGAGTGCAAAGGGTTAGTTTTGTAGCGACACACGAGTCAATGGAAGATTTGAATCGGCAGAAACTCATATTATTGTGCCTTGGAATACCAACGTTGTTTTGTTTTGCAAGGTCTAAAGACAAACGAACTGTGGACAAAATATTATTGCCGTTACTGGTAATCGTCAACCGGAGTTACGTATGAACTCCAACTTCGAACTTTTTATAATAACACCTGTCGATGTAAATATACGAACGTGGTCTCTTGGACAGTCGAATAATCGAATAGGTAGCGAGTTGAAGAATTATTAGGTTGGCAATACCACCTAATGACAAAATCCGCAATCACTTAGTTGCTAACCTAATAAATTGTTATCGACTTACGGGCATTGAACGAGCGACGATTACGATCAGCGTACATACACTATCTCTGTATTTGTACTTACAGTGTTTTTAATATAATTGACTATTACGATTTCATCATTCGTTTCTTTAGAAAACAAACCAACACGTTTAACCCTTTGCACTCCGAAGTTTATTTCAATTTTGTTACCAGCAGCTCCTAAGGCTTAGCAGCTATATACTCAAGATCTATTTCTTGTATAGTCATCACTATCACTACTGTCAAAGTTCTTATTTATTTCGCTCCTTTCACTCATTGTAAATATTTACAGGACGACAGATATACAATTTTCAAACTCTGAGCGGACTGATATAAGTTAGGTAAATAAGCCAGTTTGGTAGGAGCGTCGATAATGTGCGCGCGACATCTATTGATTTGGACACGAAAGAATGTCGAATGGGACACGACAAAGGAGCTCCTGAGATAAAAACTGATGTCGAATTACACTTCACATGGGAGTGCAAAGGGTAAATATCCAACTCAATTTAATCTTACGTGTAATTAGATCTTTACGAAGAAATGTGAAGGAAGGGAACCTATGTACGTAAAAATTTGTTTCGTCTCCCAAGTATTTTAACTGCTTGAATTACATATCAGGTATGTACTTGACTATTCTTCAATTATCGTGTTCCTTCGTCCGTTTAAATTATCATTCTGAATTTCACTTCGGAATATTCCAATTCTCACGTATAAAATAACTTTCTACAAAACTGAATTTTCGAATCAAAATCCGCCATCTAATTGACGTATCATTTCCATTTCATCGTTGCACGCATTGTTTTCTTTTACTACAGAAAATCTACAGTATAATAGCGAAAACTCTGCAACTCGACACATTTGCCTACTACGCTGCTATATCCACTTCGAGTGAAAAAATTCCAGCGACCATGTACGATGATGAAAAACCGACCAAAAACGTCTATGGATTCACGGAGACAAAGAGGAAGAGGGGATTGGATGGCGTAAAAGCGCGTCATGTCCGTGTCCAGCTCGTCAGAGCGAAACGTCGGCGCAGGCAACGCTCGTAATTGGCTCTAGTTGGCCAAATGAAATATTTAACGAATAAAATAAACGGAAAGCGGCGGTGACCTGCATGTTAAAGTAGCGGATTTATTTGCTTTACCGTTTATCTGACCAGTAAAGCTGCCCTCCCTCTTCCCGCCATCGTTCGTCTCTCTTCATCTTCTCTCTCTTTCTTTCTTTCTCTCTCTCTCTCTCTCTCTCTCTCTCTGTATCCCCTTTCGTTCGTTCCTCGGCATGAGCGCACGTGGATCCCACCCCTAGATTTTCCAGGTGCGGCTGCGTTGTAGGAGCAGGCTGAGTGGTAGAAGCCGGGAAAGAGGGGGAAAGGGGTGGATTCAGAGAGTCAGGGGCGCGGAACACCATGATGAACGTGATTGCCCTTTCCGGACGGCAAACACTGCTATTGGATTTTATCAGCTGCTGCTGCTGCTGCTGCTGTTGGCTGCTACTGCTTCTGCTCAACAGCCGCGCTTTCTCCGTTCCAGAAATTCGTGTAAACTTTGAGAAGAACGTGGAGCGTGTTATAGACCTTCCACTGTTCGATTAACCGAATGATGATTTCATGATCCCTATTTGACACACAGCAGCGTTAGGCTTGGATTTTGCAGGCTTCTGGAATTAAGGAGACTGTCATTTGGAATTTTTTGCAAGGTAAAGAATGTACCTTTTTTTGGAACAGATTGCGTAAAGAATGGAAATTTCGAGATTCTTGGGGTTAACGTTATTCATCCTTTGTCTTCTCATTTCTGATATTGTGATTATTAGAATTTTTATAGCGATGAACCAGAGGATGATTTTACAAATTCCTGGCAGTCGATAGCCAGTCGGAGGTCAGGTTTCTTTAGGTTTATACCGTTGATCCTTCTTATCCTCGCTGAATCCCTGTGATATCTTTCCGCTCTTTTACACAGCTTCACGTTGATTTTATAATACCCACGTAGCAAGATTTCAAATATCGAGCATGTAGACAGATATTTGAGACTTTTGCGTGAAGTTCAACGGAGAAGCTGCCAGTCAGTCGCAAAAGTCTGCGGCGAGAACTTGAAGAAAGACGAAGGTAGCCGAAACGGCTGAGAGAAAAATTTGCAAAGACAAGCGAGGGCTGTTTGACAGCAGAGGAAAGCAGCGAAGCAGAGACAACGGGGCGCGTAAAGCGAGGCTTAAATATTTATCCAAAACGAGGTGGACATCTGTCGGTGCGGCTCGTTGCATTTTATTTAGGCGTACCGTATTTATTTAACATTAACGCCGGCACGTAGTCTCCCTAATTCACGCTGTCGTCGTCGTCCGTTCGGCAAACAACGGCACACATGCTCTACGGTCTCTTCGGGGTTTGGTCGGTGGCCAAATACGAATTATTAGTGTTGTCACTGGCACGTACCCGCGGCTTTCTGCGTGTGTCACATAGTTTTTGCCCGACGGTGACGTAATTTCATCAGGCTACAGTCAGCAACGACGTTACATTCGTTGAACCATCCGTGTCTCTCCCAACCAAAAATACCTCAGAACTAACGAGAACTTGGAAATCTCGTCGAATATTAATGCCATTTTTCATGCTACTGTTCTGGTAAGGTTAAAGCGGTTGAAAGATTCTGTTCATTTATTAAACGGCTATTAAAAATTGCCAGTGATCCTCAGTTTAATTTAAACGTTCGACAGTGCGAGAGAATAACAATGGCAGGGGATTTTCATTCGGATTTATGACATTCCTCATCTTGGCGATTATAATAAAACGTAGGATGACGATCTCATTGAAAAATATTTCCTTCTTCTTCGTATGATCAACCCTCTACATTTCTATCACTAATTTCTGAACCTCTGAATCCTGAATTATGGATTTTGAAGAACCTGTAACAGGTATTTTGATAGATTTCAGAGAGAATTAAAGGAAAAATGGAATCGACGAAAGCATTAAAAGGGACGAATTAAAAAATTATTGTTGTAGGTTGTTGTTGACTGTAAGCTGTACAAAGTAATGGAGAAATAGACGATGGCAATGAAAGTAATGTCTATAGGATAAGGAGTAGCGACGGATCCGTCGAGGCAACTTTCCTTGGTTATTAGAACTTTGACTCGTAACGCTAATGAAAATTACTATTTCTCTGCGATATTCCTTACTATAATTTAGCCAGTATATTACGAAGATTGCTTCAACCAAATAGATTCCAAGCAAGAGAAGACGACCAAACCACAAATGATCTTACCTAGAAAAATAAATGAAATTGAATTCACCGATTGAACGAGAATGAATTGATTCAAATTTATAGATTAAAAAAAAAAAAAGAAAAAAAACAGTAACCAAAAAGAAAAACGATTTTATCCATAAAAATAAATGCAATTAAATTCACCGATTAAACGAAGACCTAGAAAATGACGAAGTTAGAAGTTCTGGCAGCAACTGGAACATCCAAAGTATTCGAAGTTATCTCAGTCACAAACAGAGAATCATTAAATCTATGCTCTATTCGATCTTCTTCTTCTTCCAAATAGTACGTCCTTTTCAACTGAAATATGAATACGATTGGATTTTGTAATTTAAGTGGAAAGGAGGACAGATATTTCGAAAGCAAGCGTAAACAGTTTGGTAGGGAGAGGGTGGAAGCTTATGGACGGACCATTAGGGATTCTGTGTCGATAGAAACAAGTTTGCGGTGTATTTGTTCATTAGATTAACCCTAACGATTGTGAGTCGTAGTGATTTCCTCCTTCTGGATAGGTTAGCAGAGGATTTTGCTCGGTTGCCGCCCTGAGGGGCTGATCCCAACTTACCGATGGAGATCCTAACCGGAAAACAAGAATATTTCAGGATTGAAAGACGTGGCAGCGTGGTGGGATGTCGTGAGACGAGTAAAGAATATTTTATCGAACCGTTGAAACAGATATACGACAGATCAAAAATTTGACATCACTTTATACCATCTACGTATTGTTATCTGGTCTATGATTCTTTCTTTTAGTCCTGTAAAAACGTGGCATAACAAAAATGTAAGTAGAGACACTGATTAATATCCCAGAATCTTTTCACCTGTTTTGAGAAGATTCAAATTACTATGAAATAATTAAAAAACATAAAGCTTCACAAACCTAAAACCTATAAACCAACGTAATTATAAATACAACTTCAGGAAAAGAAAATCTCAGGAATATGGAAATAATCGAATTAGCAGACGGAATAACCTCAAAATAAATATTAAAATGCTGGAACGCGAGAAATTGCCGACGGATGGTAAGGTTCCGGCGGGAACAATAGGAGTTTGGAAATCTTTCGAATTTTAAAGAACTTGCTCGACACTGTTAAGAATTTGTACAAGAAGCGAAGTGAAAGTTAGAAAAGTACGATAACAAGATTAGAAAAAAGAACAAGCTGCCTGGAACTAAGTTCGTTTACGTAGGAAAGCGACGAGAAGGGATCATGCGCAACGATCGGAAACGCGTCTCTCAGATTTCAAATTCACCACTTCCCATTCGTCTATAACGTAATTTTTGCTTATTTGATTTTCATGTTAATTTCAATTTTGACCGTCGTTCGATGAATTTTTAAGATCTCGTCACGCGGACGTTGAAAGTGAAAGATGTGACGCCCGATCAGACCAAAGGATTCGCTTTTCATACCGGAGGATGCTGAAGCTCGTGAAAGATTCACGGCACGTCCAAGATTCTCTCGATGCGTCACATTAAGCGAGTTATAAGGATATATCCGAAGCGGTGCTATCAATATCACGACGGCAGGAAGTCAGGAGAAGTCACTGTTACGCCTGATCACTTCCGCTTTGACGATAAATCAGAAAACGCGCAATTTTCACGTTCCATTGAATAATACAAATGAAGTAATTCGAACATACGATCGTTTAAACCTAAGCTTTGGAAGCAGATAGTAATCTGCTGTTTCTTATTTTTATCTTCTTTATTTTTATTAACAGATGGAGAGATAGATTTGTTATGCAGAGAAGCAATATTTCATCTAGAAATTGCGAAAGTAGCGGAATTTCTATATTTAATCGACGATCAATAAAAAATTAGGACATGCAACTTTTTAATTTCAAGCTTCGAAAGATCATTAGACATTCTTTGTTAATCTTACTAAATGAAATTGGCAAATAGAATTACCGCGAGACGAAGCAAAATTTTACCTGGCGTGTTACAAAGTAGCGAAATGTATTATCCAATCAACTTGAAAGTTTATTTAATAACTGAACGTTCAATTTTAGTTCTAAGCTTTGAGAGATCATTGGACTCTAGGATCACTGACTTTGTCTTTATCCTTCTTAAACAAACGACGAATAGAATTGTGGCAGAGCAAAATTGTATTCAGAACCTCAAACTAGAATCTCAAATTTTAGAAATATCATTCTCGATAATAGATCTTACAAAATAGATTAATATAATTGATCTACAAATATTCATACAATAACGATATTTATCTATGCTTGAATAGGAAACAATTTCTCTTATCGTGACTCCTTTATTGATCTTCCTTTATTAATTTATTAATATAAAACTAATTCCAATTTTGCTCGTCTAAAGATTAAGTAATAAAGCCGGAGCGGTTAAGGATTCGTTAAGGGTACTAAATCAGACGTTCGATAATAGAATTGCAGTTGATGGTGATTGCTACACTCTCAGCCGTCAGAAATTACCTTCTTCAATTAACCAAATAAGTTCGGGACGGAAACGCATGGCTCTGCAGAGACAAAATCTTGATTAAGAGATGCATCGGACAGGCCGATGCCATCCGGCTTGATGAATAAATCGCTATAGACAGATCTCATTAACTGTGTATCCACTTTCGTGTCTGACCACAACCGTCACGGTTCGCTGTCACTGCTGTGTTTCACTACTTAAGTCAAGCGAAACAGTATTTTCGACTCTAGTCATAGTAACTTAGATATGAGGAGTACTGTAAGATCGATTAAGTAATGCAATTAATAGTTGATTCACGTATGAGAACAGTAGAATCCCAGAAATCTTGGTCAGGATCTCGGCTGTAATTGTTCTTCAATTCCTACTGTCTCTGTGAGATTTTTTATTATTGGAATTTTCTTTTTTATAATCGTTTCATTCAATTATCGAGTTTTCCTTCTATTGTCTTTGTAAGTTCTTTTTTGTTAAAGCTTGTGCGTCCTGGTTTTTTCCTATTATTACAAGCGTCTTCTTAAAGTTCCTGTACTTTCTTATCGTTGGAATTTCTTTCCAGTATCTTGCACTGCTATTTTTCATCCCAGCAATTCTCTTTTATCTTTCCTTTTGACTTTCAAGTTCTCTTTTACACGGAGTGGAATCCGTTTCTTGTTCTCCCCAAACTGCTTTTTTCACTGCTGGAGTTTTCTTCTTGATTGTTTCTTGATAACCTTGCACGTTTCCTTTTAAATTATTACAATCTCTCTTGATGCTCTTTACTAGTTCATTTTTTTAATTAGAATCTCTTTTTTGATGTCCTTACCACCTTATCCGTTTCTCAAATATTCTGACATCTAACACAGAAGAAATAATAACACTTACCAATTCCTAATTGCAAATAGCTGCTATGGGAGCGTCATACCAAAAATCCTCACTCTAACTCAAGAAAACTTCCTCAGAATACCTCTCGACCAATTAATTCTTCTTCCAAATACTCTGACCTGTCCTCGCAGCAAGAAATAAGGAAGAAAACTTCACTCTGTAATTCGAACAAAAATAAAAGATCCCATGCTACCCACATATATTCGCATTAACTAAATTCCTCTAGTACCTCCTTGACGGTTCTCCAACTGGCAACTAAATACCAGTCCCTGTATTCCGCACTCAGACCATTCTTAACACCAATTACCCAGCTTAATCTGAACTATCAGCGCGATAACGCGCAGGCCAGCGTCGAAGGAGTTCCGTGGAAAACGGCGAATACCGTCGTGCACCGGTGTGTTTGCAACAGTCGACGTCGTTCTCCGTAGATGATACCCAGCAGGACAGTTTTTAATCACCGTAAGTGGATCTACATAGAGCTCGCAATTACCAGGGCACACTCCGGCCATGGGCCCCTTGTGTATCAGCCACCCTCGGCCTACCAGAGTCGAGCCAGCTCCAATGTTTTCCCCATTTCATCCCTCGACGCCAGCGAACCAACCGATCCCCCTTCTCTCCTCTTTCCTTGCCTCTTTCCCAACGAGGATCCTTTCGTTGGAAGCGTTATTGCCTATCTCGTCGTTGCTTTTTGATCTTTCTACATCTTCCCTGTTCATTTATCATTCATTCTTCTACGCCGGATATGTTTTTCTGCTTCTCCTCCTGGCCTTCTCCTTTTGGCTGCAAACTGTATTCTGCTATTTTCTGTTGCTTTGGAATATCGTCAGTGGACCTTTTTCCTATATATCATAGACAGAATCATTGGCTGTGTTTTCTCTATTATCAGAAGAGAATTGTTAACAGTAGAATTATTAATACCATTGATTGTTACACTATGTATATCTTTTCTCATTTTAGTCATGAATATTTCATTCACAAATTATCTTCTCATTCTATTTTGTATATTCTATCATTTTATACTGTAGTTAGTTATGACACAAAATACTAACGTCTAATTAATATAGATGGGAGATGACGATATTTATTGCTCCCAGGGGAGGACGCCTTTATTTTTCTTCTATGTCTGCGTTTTAGTGGAATACATCTTTGTATTTCTTCTCTGCTTCGACTTTTTCCAAGTGTGTTTTTCTCCTCTTTTTTGAGTACACTGCCTCTTCTTACCGGCGAAGACCCTTCGTCAGAGACTGCTCCCCGATCACCCTCCAACTTCCCGTGACGGTGCTCGACTGTGTCCCATCGGGGAAAAGAAATTCATGTTGATTTTCCAGGACTCTCCCAAGGCTGTCTATCTCTAAATTACTCGATTCTCCTCTAGTTCCCTTTGTGTTCCTTTGTTATATCTCTGCCACAGTTTTTGATAACGCCTGGAAACTTGTTATTTCGTGGAAGTAAAATTTCATCAAAATTTGGATTTTATTGGAATATATAAACCTGATGATAACATGTCAGAAATATATTTAGAAGAGAGATTTCCTCTAAATACCTCCATAGTGTTCCATAATGTAAAAATGTACTGCTTTCAGATATCCATTATGTATTATCTTAATATTACTTTATTAATATCTTATCATCTTAATGCAATTTCCATAGTTTCCCAACACGACAATTCTCCTTTGTAAAATCTTCTGATCTCATATCACAAATAACTATTGTAATACCTACGACATAAAATCCAAGGTAACAGTCTATCATAATAGTTCTTATAGTTTTAGGAGCGACGTTCCTCCGCAATATCTTCCATAATATTATATTACATAAATTTTACAAAATTTTCTTTTCCTAAATTCACGCATGAACAAGCGAATATAGTATTCGAAGCAGAGAATTCAAAGTTGTTAACGCAAACTCTACAATTCTTTTCTGATTTCAATCAATAAATTGATGTAGCATTCTGAACGAAATATCTAAGCTTGCAACTTCTGTTACAGATGTCACAATTGCTTCAACTTCAAGAAGACCAACCGATCTCCATATTCCGCCAAACCATACAAGTTTCAAGCGATAGAAAATGATTCCACCATGGAATTAATCGAGCTGGCTAGATCGTTCCACTTTGTTCAATTGAATGTAGACCCTCAGGAGCTGGTAAGAGCAACGGTTGTTGGTCCAGCAGAGCAACACCAGCCTGTTCACCCTCTGGTAGCTTCTATTCTGTGCTACATCCCATTGATGACACCATGGACAGGGGTGGCAGAATGTCGCGTGGCGACACGTTTCACTGTTCTGAGTCACATGTCATTCCGTATGAATTACAACTCCATTAACGTTCCAGACAACCTGCGAGCATACATAATGCTGGCGAATTGAGCGGATCAGCTCCTCGGCCAAGATGTTGATTTATGGGGAATGATGGAGGTGCCCTGGTCCTTGGACGAACGGAGCCAATCATAAAGTGATTGAATTTTTAATCTGTTACTTGGAGATCTTGTTTTGCGTTCCATTTTAAGGTAACTTGTTTTTAAGAGAACTGCAGATCCTTTTCTTCTTTTTGTTTTTAGCTCTATTCATTTTTCATCTTTTCCTCTTCTTCATCATGTTTCTCCTTCTTTTAAATTTTAATGAAATCCATTGTGCGTTGTTTCACGGTTATCCCTCTGTTCATCCTCTCCTTTCGCTTCTTTCAGAGTCTGAACGACAGTTTCAGTTTCATACAATACAATACAATATAATTTTCTTGTCTTTTTTTTCTCGCGTCGTGCGACACTGTTAATTCACAATTAATCAAACGATGGACGTTGCAAAGAGTACAAAATACCAAGTTGCTCAAACGATCTACAAAGAACGAAGAAAATGTCTCAAAGTTAATTTGACGATCGTACGTAATTGCATGTGAATATTGGTAAAGTATCTTACAATAAAATAAACGAGAATCTGTGATGTAAATCGATAAAGTTTCCAGATGTCTTAAGGGTGGACCTTAGGCTAAGGAATTAGGGAAGATTCGAAGCGACTACCCTACGTCAGGGAAAACCTCTCTAGAAATGGCGGTCGGCCCGTGATGCCGCAAACTAATAGAAAATTGATAGTAACTTCGTGCTTGATTATCATGCGTGCGTAGTACGTTCACGTTTACGGTTTCCAGATGAGCTAAGCAGAACGTTCGGTTACAGCTAAACAATTCTAATTCCTTGTGCCATTGATTTCTCAAATTCTCTATGTAATTAATAGGAATGCGAAAATAATTTATTATTCTTCAATAACGTAATTTCATAAAGCGATGAAATTATATATAAAAGTATGGAAATTAGAAAAAGTTAAAACAAAATTAGAAATTTGATTAATGGAAAAATTCATTGCCTTGATTCCATTACGATTGAAAAATAGTACAATGACAGAATTAGAAATTCTATTTCCACGATAAATAGATTACACTGCCTTCATTGTTAATAATAGAATAATTAATTTTTCGTTATTGTTATCAGCGAACTAATAGAATAGAAATTATAGGATTATCAAATTGGGAATTCTACTTTCATAATGGATAGCTGAACATATTCTAAGCTGCTTATTAATAATAGAATAATTCATGTTTTTAGTTATTAATACTATCGTTAGAGGATCAATTATTAATACTATAGTTAGAGGACTCATGACATTTACGTCACAAACAACTGTCGCGGATGATATCGTAATCCGAAACACCTAAGCTCGTTTGTTTCCAATATATTTTTGCACCGTTGCCATCGACGAGATTACATTTTCCCTGATAATGTAATTTCTGAACATGTTTTCAGAATATGTTTCTGGGACATCGGTGATTAGTGTTAGCAGCAATAAAGTTCCTAGCTAACTGAATTTACCGGCTGGTAATAAGTGTCAAAAGTGAACAGCCTGTTTCGCAATTAGGCAAAATACAGATTTTATGACATTAAACTTGTTGGCGCAACTGCAATTTTCGCTCTTAAAATATTACACTAGCCACGGTACATCGTGGCTTTCAGAATTACACATCAATCAAATACAGAACAGAGGACAATAAGAGGAACATTTATTAAATCAATAAATGATTCCTTGATAGTGCAACTTTGAAAAAGTTGCATTTAATACTTATACATATTCTATATTTATATATATATTTATTGTTTGTAGTAGTTATTTATCAGTGAATTAATTTTCTATTAAATTAATTGATAAACGTATACGCGTTTTTTATATTTGAAACAGCAACTATGCTTTGCTACTGTATTTTACAGCGAACGATGTCTTTTTTTCAAATTTTTCTGTAATCCCACGGATAGGTGTAATGTACATACAAAACTCTATTATTGATATCGAAGCAATAGCACATCAATAGCATTGATATTGATCAAGTGATGAAAATTACTGTAATTTTTTACAAGCTTTACGCTTCAGTTATCAGTAGTTCTAGTGTCAATAAAATGAAATCTACTATATGTTTATTACACATTATTTATATTTATAAAGAAATGTTCCTTTTATCTCCTATTACGCTCTTCTTTTGCAATTGATTTGATATAATTTTCCATTGCTATAAATCCTTCTTATTCATAGAAACGATTCACAGAAATTTGTCCATAACGAGAGACAACTAATAACGAAAAGCTCAGCAACAAAAATCTCAAACTTTCACTGTTCTAACAGAAATAAAAAAATCTATTTATCCGGAAATTTTCACCTGCTCCTGTAAATTATCTTCTTCACTATGATTATACCAACGTTCAATTATAATAATTCTGTTTAACAAGCTATACCGCAGTTCCATTCACATTGGCGTGACGACGATGATCGTCGCACGAGCAATTCCCGTCACTTGGACGATGTGATAAATTTAATCCGACGCAAGAGTTCGGCGTACTATAGCACACTGTGACTACCATTTTCCCAGGTCGCTAACGTGCAGCCTCTGTGATTGGCAAGCACGATTATTATTATTATAGAAGGATCAAGATTAAGGGAGACGTTGGTTCTTCACACAATCCTTGTCTATCGAAAGCCATCTATTCTTGGAACGAGACCAGACATCTGCCTAAAATGTAGAGACATCGTCAAAGGTATCCTTATATTCATGAAGTTCAATTGAGAAATAGAAAGTAAGAAGATAGACGAAAGAGTCATACACTTTGGATTCATCAATCCCCAGGATGAAAATTACTGAAATAATCCTCTTTTCCTTCAGGGAGACGCTGAAGATTAAAAATTATGAGGCTGAGATTGATTGATGTCAGAAGGGGTGATTAAATGGGATAATACGAGAAATACAGTTATTTGTGATGTAAAAAGATATAGGTGTGAATAGTCATTCAGATAGAATTCATTCATCTCGCATCAAATTTTATTGAAAGTGCGAATTTTGTTAGGTAGAATGGAGGATCAAATTCAAGTTACTACCAGGTCAATTAGAGGAACAGAAGCCGAGCTGGAATTTGTTTCACCTATTAAATGTTCTAATAACTCTGCTTCGTAACTTTCCTGACACTTTGGTAGATTTGTGATAAGAGTGTATGAATTTTATCCAATTTCCAAATTCATCACCAATCATTGCTAACACCAATACTCGATAAGCTGAGCAATTCGCAGCCTGAAATAAACACGAGCACGAAACAGTCAGTGCAATGGATGTTGTTTGGACCCGATTTGGGAAAAATGAATACATTTATGAAAAATTTAAGAATTCAGGCACAGAATTCAAAAATGCATAGAATGTATATAACACAGAAAAATGTAATTAGACGTAATATAACTCACATGAATGCCAATGAATATTAATAAGAAACATGGAATACTATTAATATGTTGACATTTTTTTATATAAATTCTATTGTCTAGTATATAGATTTAAGAAACAGCAGTTGTACAATTTAGTGTACAAATGCAAAAGACCATCAATGAATTCTTTCAAGATTACGAATATCTCATATTTCAATGTTTCCTATATCACACGAGGAAATTCCATTCGTGAGCACATCACATATCGGATAATAATTGAGATAATTGAAAATAAATCTTATTATTTGATTATTTAATGTTGATCTATTGCTGAGCAATGAATTATCTAGATATTCGACAACGACAGATCATTGTAATTTACATTACTCTTCAATCAGTTTCCCTTCTTGTAGATGAACGTGCGATCATACTCTTCTTTTATGGCAATTAAAAGCCAAAAACGAAGAGAATACAAATTTATCATAAAATATTCGAGGCAGAGTATTCGTTATACGTATCAGTTTACATAAAAATCCTCACTCAATCTATAAACCTACATTCGCAGAAAAAATGTGGCTTAGCTCTTTCGATCTTAATGCCTCATATGAGTCGCTCTATCTAAATAATACAGAACTACAAAGAAGGCGAGCACCGCTAAAATTTATGATTAAAGAGCCAAAAAGGAAAACGTAAGAAAAGCGAAGAGAATGGATATCGACGCATTTGAGATTAAGAGAGAACTGGTTTATCCACAAGAGCTGGTGAGAGCCGCCAAAATGCAAAACACATTAATTTGATCATAAATAACGCGTGTTCGATTGTGCGTCATGGGAAGACACGAGGATCTCCCTGCAGAATCTTCAGTGTGTAAGAAGTCCAAGTTAATCCGTCACATGCATTAGAAGGTATAATCCATCAAGTAGCAACTTGCAGGTAACCGTGAAAACGAAAATGGGGCTTGTAATGCAATTACATAGCGTCCGGGTTCCACCATCGCCCTTGTCCCTCCGTTTCCGGCGCTTCATTTTAGGTGATGCCAGAGGGAGGACCTCCGAGTAAAAGTCAACGAAAGAATAATCTATTGTCCAGCTTATTTCTTCCAGCTTTTCTTGATTGGGATCTTTGCAATCAGACTGGAACGCTCTTTTGAGGAAAATCGTCAAATTCGTTAGAGTTTTTACGCTTGTTTCAAAGAATAGTATCAATTTTATTATTGCGACAGTCGCTGGGTTAATTGAATTCTCCATTTAAGTTTTAAAAGTTATACGAGAAAATCTTTCTTGAGGATTTCTTTAGGATAATGATATAGTATATAAGATTTTTATAATCCTATTGGCTATCATGACAGTCACTAAGTTAAGTGACTTGCAATACATTCTTTATATAAATACAATAATTCTGAGATATACTTTTCACGAGGATAGTATAATTTTACCATTATTAACTAGTTGAGTTTCGTTGTGTTCAATTATAATTGTATTTCAAAACGCAATTTGCAATCATAAAAAAGCACACAAATTCAAACAGCAATTAGAGCTATGACTATTATACACATGAGAGTAAAAGAAAATGATAGTGAATTGTACAACATTGAGTCATTCAGAAGCTACACTGATCAACGTTATAAATTGTGAAATATAATAAAATAATGATGTTAGAAATATTAATTTCGTAAAGGCATCTATAAATTTACTATTTTTCGTGCTAATTTTATAATGAATGAATTTGTAGAAATAAATCACCTGTTTCTTGGATATTAAAAGATAGAATTTATACATATTTGAGTTTATAGAAAATGAAGCTGATCAGTTCATTGTAGGTTTCACTATCTTCTTTCTTTGAGTTAAAACACCACTTACTTGGACTCTAGCTTCCGTCAGGTCGATCTTCATGGCAATTTCTTCTCTAGTGTAGATATCCGGATAGTGGGTCTCCTGGAAGGCACGCTCCAATTCTTTAAGCTGAGCCGATGTGAACGTCGTTCGTATCCGACGTTGTTTTCTCTTCTCTGCTAAACCATCGTGTCCTGAGTAAGCCTTATATCCTAATCCACCTGAAAATAAGAAAAGAAAGATATTTGAATCAGTGAAAATGATTTGTATTTTATTAAAACGGTGTTACGAAATTGTTCAGAGCAAGAATTCAATTTAATATTCTTTGATTCTAGTCGCAAACGCTACGGTTATTGCACAATTTGCAATTTAGCTATGTATCTTTTGTACATGTATTTCTAGAATCTTTAACCAAATCCACGATTCATAATTCTAATTGCAAACAGAACAATTACCTAATCTTCAATTTTCAGAGTTATTTCTTGGTACACTTTTCCAACTACCTTTTGTTCTATGTTTCTACAACTAAACCCATGCATCACAAAATCCACAAAATGTTAACCAAAACCTCATGAACCTCTTTAAAAAGTTTCCAAAATCTCAGAACCAAATCCATGGTACGTAAAATGTAGGAAATGAATTGATCAATCCGACATAAACCTTGCTAAGACGAACTTACATTAGCATAAAACTTTCACCTACTGCACCAACTCTCTAAATCAACTTATCCCAACTTTCTCTTAATCAGTAGTCAGAGACGGAACTTCCAGGGTTCCTCTAAATCAGCCACACATTGGCGAGGCTGATAAAATATGAAGAAAATCAGTGTGGTCGAATTACTTGGTCCAAGGTGCAACGTTTGCACGAAGAGCTCTGTGTCTGTGAGCACGAGGTAGCTTATAGATTATAGAATATAGGTGAGGATGGCTGGGATAGCGAGCAACGTAACCATAGCAATGAGTGACTGAAGAGGGAGAGGGCGAGAAAGAGTGAGCCAGGGGTGAAGGAAACGTGGGATGAGACAGTGCAGAGCTGGTACCAGATGAACGAACCGGTAAATGAGGGAGAGACGAAGAAAGAGAAGCAAGAATACGAAAGAGAGGGAAAGAGGGGACGAGACACATCCATTGATTTTCAGTGCCATCTTGTCGTCGTTTCCAGAGGAAATACCACAGTGGTAGGTTCGAGCATGGAGACCATGCCATGGCAACTTTCCCTTGAGAAAAGAAGGACCACCCTCTTCTTTTTTTCTGCGGGAAAGACCGTCTTCTTCGCCCCGCCTGCGCCTTTCAGAGCTGCCTTCCTGCACCTCTAATTGATTGTTCCTTTGTAAATTCTATCGTTTTAACGACGTAGCGTGTTTGATTTGTTCGCTTGTCCTCGAGGAACGGGAGTTTGCTGGATCGAAGAGAGAATTTCATTAGATTCTCTCTGCAGCATTTATTTACAATTAATACGGACCTTGGTGCTTTGGAATTTTCCGGATCTAGTGTTTCATGGTTATGTCCTAAAATATATTTATTGGAAATTGTGTAAATAATAGAGATAAACAAGAAGATACTATTTATAAAGATAGCAACGAGGGTTTTAAATCTCTGAATAAACAGCGATGTTAACTTTTTATCTTCCTACTAAAGAGACCGGATAGAAGTGAAGTACATAAACTCACTGTGAAGTTTTATTATGATATCTTTTAGATAAATTAAATTTTAGTGAAAGAGAAATTGTACCCATCTATGGAAAAAGGAAATTACTTATGAATTTGGTTAATTTTTTTAGTGGATAACACAAGCTGGGTTACGGAATTAAAGGATATTGGTGGAGGAATATGAAAGACTTATGGAATAGAATTATTATAGAATAACAAGAGAGTGGCCACTGTCAAACCAAATTCTCCTTTTTGAAGAAATTCACAAACAAATATTCCCTGTCGCTTAAACGATCTTAGGAATACTCTACGATACAATCCCTTCAAGTACTAACTAAATTATGTTAAACTAAAAGCTACCAAAATCCTAAACAATCTCTGACATATTAAAACAAGAATTAAATTAAAATGATTATAAAATTATAAAATATAATACAAAATAAAATCATCATAGAATCATAAAATATAATGTAGGACAAAAGTAAAATAGAAAAGCACATTTCTCGTCCAGAGAAAGCTCGACACAATCTATTCCCCTCTTCCCAAAAGAACAGATAAAAGCACTCACTCTGTAGATTAATGGCCGACGGGAAGATCGAGGCGGCGTGTCTGTGGACCTCTTGAGATCTGGCGGCCATTACCGAGCAGGGGGTTGCATGGGCCCCGTGGTGCGCGTGGGCATGAGAGTGGGTGGTGTGATGGGCCCCCAGCGGCGTGGTGCTTCCTGTACTCGTAGTTCCCGCGTTGCCTGGATAACCAGCAGCCCTCGCAGCTGTGTAACGATAAGCAGCTTGGCTCATCTGTGAGCAAGAACTCAAGTCCCCGTATCCACATTGCATTTCACTGGCAGCCAGAGCACAGCTAGAAGCCTCGAAACCGGCGGCC